TTCCTGCTGGGAAAGAAACAAAACCTGGTTTGACTATTAGCAGCACTCCAGGAAAACTATTCTTGAACCCAGATGTCATTCCATTACACTAAATATACTTTTCACCAAAAAATATTACCAAAATCAGAGAGTATCTTTTTTCTTTTTTTTTGGTTCAGTTTTATATATTGGATGTGTGACATAGTAATAAAATGCTAAAGCTAACCTTTCCCCCAAAGGTTAGGAATTAGGATAAAGACATGACAGCATTTAAACAATAAATCTCCAGAAGCATATCAATAGCATGGGAGTGTTGAATTTCCTTATTTAGCGAAGTCTTACATTTTGTAGGGCCTCAAGCTTTCTCTGCAGGGCCTCATGTTCAGCTTGAATCCGAAAAGGAACTCCATGCTTTTGATACACATTGTTTTGTGCCAATTCCTCATCCAGGTCAGTAGCAGTGGTAGCAAAGGGATGATTAGCAGGAATCCACCTGACAGTATCAGGATCAACATCTGGAGGAACCTCATCCCCTTCTTTAAGAAAGACAGTGGGTCGCTTCCACTGGTACGCGCGCGATCTCCTTCTCTGGTGAGTGGCCTGTTGCTCTTGAGTAAGAGTAACAGGGGCTAAACGGTAAACCTTTCCACACATCTCAACAGTGGAGTCACTTTTGCCAACCTTGACAAAGGGATTATTGAAGGGGTCTTCATACTTGAGAGGCCTTGATCTGAAAAGATGCATACAGAAATGCAGATAGACAAATGGGGGGATCATCATTGTTACTTGTTAGGCAGGAAACTCAACCTCACTAAGCAAACCCTATCAACTATCAACTAACTAGTAATGCATGTAATTACACTAATTGTTGTGACTGACTTACTTTATATGCATATTAGGTAGATTAGATAAATACACAATAATGAAAGAGTGAAAGCAAAAAAGAGTAAAAAAAAGTGGGTATGGATAAAAATCATACATGCCTCTTCTATCAGATCTGAGTTGGCCACGTCTCACAAGATCAGCCACCGAACCAGGGCGCTCTTTTTTTCTGGACACGACTCTCACCGCCGCAATCAAAACGACAACCGCAACACACACCCAAATAGGGAAATTGCTTCCACCGTTTCGATTCAGCTACAATTAATGATAATATTAATATTAATATTTAATAATAATGAATAAATAAATAAATAAATAGTGTGAAACGGAAAAGGTAGGAACCAGGAAGGGTGGCATGGAGATGGAAGTAACGAGTCGATGGTGAAATTTGGCAATGGAATTGAAGGAATGGTGTTTGAGTTGGGAACGCAAGTTGGAGATTCCATTTCTGATAGCAATGCGATTTGTAGAGGTGATGGGGCATGGCTGCATTTTATCAAAGCTTGAATCGTGAATGTTGGAATCTATGCGAAGAGGAAGTGAACGAAAGTGAAGTGTCCAAACAGAAGCCATGTGGTGGTGGGAATGGCAATGGCAACTCAAAAACAGCTTTTGGTTTCCATTCCTCTCTCTGTTCTTCAACCTCCAATGTTAGGGTTACAGATATTTAAAAAATAAATAAAAAAAGAGTAGCTTCAAATTCAATTTAGCTTTACCACATATCAAAGGCTCGCGGGTTCGATTCTAGTTCGGGTCACTACTACTACTAGAGTTCATGCAATCACGACCCACTTTGTTTAAATTTTTAAAAATGATTATAAAAAAAAATATTTCTTAAAAAATTACTTTTTAAAAAAATAGATAGAATTTTTTTTTTATGAAAAAGGTAGAAATTTGATTACTTTTAAAATAAACAATTTTGAAAAATGCTACACAAACTAAAACAAACTATTTAATTTATTAAGAAAAATGATAGATCCTCCGAAAAAGACTCCAAAAATCATTTCGAAAAAATAAATATTAATTTAAATTATAAAATATTAAATTAAATAATTATTTTATAATAAGTTTATTATAAAATTATAATATTTTAACCTTTTGGAACGTGATTCGAACATTTTTTCGAAGGATGAAGCACTGCTCATTTATTAATTAGTTACTTATTGTAGTTGTAATGACTCATTAAGTCATCACACTTAACAGTATAGGTATGACGAAAAATACTAGTATTTATAATTACTTAGAATTAATATACAAACTATTCCCGTAAGAATAAAATTCATAAATGTTCCTAGACTATAATTACATTTTTTTGTCTGAATAAATAAAAAATACCAAAAATAAATTATTTTAAAAAATTATTTAGCAGAATGAGTGATTTTTGTTCGTGTGACAAGGATAATAATACAATGTCCTTGACTACCAACGTCTTGCATGAGAGGTGCAAATGAATAAAAAACATTTATCCTTGGACATTTAAGCGCTTTCTATTCATTTGTTGTCTGATTTTGCACATAAAACGCCACCCCTCGGTATTTTATGTTCAACCCTTGTGTTTTATGTTCAATCAACTTTGGTTAATTATATTTAATGAAATAAGATTTTTTTTTTGTTATTGTAACGACCCGCCTAACCGTCACACTGCAGAACAATACTACACAAGAGTAGAATATACATACATAAATATATATATATATATATATATATATATCCA